ATCTAACTTATGGGGCTATTCTTATGATTAAGATAACACATAAAGCACCATAACCAGTACCAGGTCTACTACCAAATGTCAGAAATATTATTGGGATGATGACTGGTTTGGAACCAAGTTAAATTAAGGATTCAAGTTCCAGGTGTATTTCCCTTCCACTAGAGTTCTTCCTGGGATTTGGGTTCCCCCATGAACTTAACTTTGCAGAAGTGCTCATGACAATCCTCAGTTCCCCCAAGCAGAGCCTAAATGGGTCTTTCAGTAAGAACAGCCAACCTAAACTATATCATTAGCCCATAATTCAGTTCTTCTCTAAAAAATATTCTGGATACTCTGAAAAGCTCAAAGTATCTGGGACATAAGTGGCAGATACAGAAAGGCAAAAAAAAAAGCTCAGTTTAAACATGGCCAAAGAGTTTGAATAGACATTTCTCCAAAGAAATAATGTAAAATACCAACAAGAGCATGAAAGGATGCTCACCATCACTCATCATTAGGGAAATGCAAATCAAACCCACAATGAGATATCATTTCACACCCAATGGTATGGCTGGTGTCAAAACAAATGAACAAACAGAAAATGAACAAAACAGAACCAACAAATGGTGAGGATGTAGAGCAACTAGAATCCTCATCCATTGCTGATGGGAATATAAAATGGTGCAGCCACTATTGAAGACAGTATAGCAGTTCCTCAAAAGAAAAAATTAAACATAGAATTACCATATGATCTGGCAATTCCACTTCTGAGTACATACCCAAAGAGTTGAAAGCAAGAACTTGAGCAGATAATTTGTATCCCAATGTTCATAACAGCATTATTCATCATAGCCAAAAGGTTGAAACAGTGCAAGTGACCATTGGCAGACTAATGAACAAAGATAATGTACAATAAACACTCCCATGAAATATTTATTACTCAGCCATAAAAAGGAAGGAAATTATGACACATGCTACAGCAATGGATGGACCTTAGGACATTATGGTAAGTGAAATAAGCCAGACACATGAGGTCAAAAACTGTATCATTCCACTTACTTGAGTAACCTAGAATAATTCAGTCCCAGAGAGACAAGAAGTACCAGCATGGTTGTCAGGGGCTGGCAGGAGTTAGCATCTAATGGGTGGTTTTAGTTTAAGAAGATGAAAAAGTTCTGGAGATGGATGATAGTGAGGTTTGGGGTGAATGCACTTAAAGCCTCTTACCTGTACAATTTTATTTATTTTATTTTTTTGCTTAAATTCTTTTATTGGTACATTTTAGGTATACAATACGTTTACATTTATCATTGGGTGCTTGTACCTGTACATGGTGTATCTTGGTTCTCATTTTTTCCCCATTACCTGTGTGCCCTTCACCCCTCCACCCTTCCCTATTTATATACTTCATTTCCATTTTTTTTTCTTTTCTCATAATTTTTCCTTTCCATTCTTTCCTTTCCCCATCTCCTCCCACCACCCCTACCCCTTTGGACCTTTTCCCATTTCAAAGTATCAATTATTAGTTATTAATTCTTTTAATCCTTATCTACACTCTGTTTCTCACAATAGAGAAGCTATTCGGTATTTACACATGTGTCCTATTTATTTCACTTAAGAGTATGGCCTCAATAGGCATTCATTTAGCTATAAATGTCTCTAGTTTCTCATTTTTTATGGCTGAGTAGTACTCCATTTTATAAAAAAAAACACATCTTCTTTATCCAGTTTCCAGTTGATGGGCACTTGGGCTGTTTCCAACCTTTAGCTATTACAAACTGTGCCGCTATAAACATGGGTGCACATATATTGATGTGGTATGATTCTTTTAATTCTTTTGGGAAAATACCCAGCAGGGTAATAGCTGGGTCAAATGGGACCTCCAGCCCTAGCTCTTTGAGGTATCTCCACACTGATTTCCACAGTGGTTGCACCAGTCTGCACTCCCACCAACAACGGAGAAGGGTTTCTTTCTCTCCACACCCCCGCCAGCATTTGTTATTGGTTGATTTCTTGATAGCAGCCATTCTTTGTGGGGTGAGGTGGAATCTCAGTGTTGTTTTCATCTGGATCTCTAGAATGACCAGCGATGTTGAACATTTTTTCATATGTTTATTTGCTGCTCTTACTTCTTTGAGAAATGTCTGTTCATTTCAGATGCTCATTTTTGAATTGGGTCTTTGAATTTGGGGGGTCTAATTTTTTTCAGTTCTTTATATATTCTAGATAGTAGCCCTTTGTCTGAGTTACAGCTGCTAAAAATTGTTTCCCACATTGTAGGCTGTCTGTTAGCTCTGTTGGTGCTTTCTCTTGCAGTTCAGAAGCTTTTTAAGATGATATCCCAGTTGTTGATTCTTTGTGCTAGTTCCCATGCTATTGAGGTTTTGTTCATAAAGTCTTTTCCTATGCCAATGTCTTCAAGAGTTCTCCCTAACTTATCTTCCAGCAAGTTTAGTGTTTCTGTCTTAATATTTAGATCTTTAATCCACTTCGATCTTAATTTAGTGCATGGTGATAGATACGGGTCTAGTTTTAATCTCTGGCAGGTTGAAATCCAGTTTTTCCAACACCATTTATGAAATAGGCTACCTTTCCCCCAATGAGGGTGGTTGGCTCCTTTGTCAAAGATGAGGTGGCTGAGTATGTTTGAAGTTGTTTCTGAGTCTTCCAATCTTTTCCACTGATCCTCGGGTCTATTTCTTGCCCAGTACCATGCTGTTTTTAATCACAGTAGCTTTGTAGTATAGCTTCAAGTTGGGTATTGTGATACCCCCAGCCATGTCTCTGTAGCCCAGAACTGCTTTTGCTATTCTAGGTCTCTTTTGGTTCCAAATGAATTTTTGAATTGTTTTCTCTAGTTCTGAGTCCTATACAATTTTAAATGGTTGACATGTTAAAATTTGTGTTACTTATATTTTCTAAAATAATAATTCTTTTAAAAAGATGGAGAGCAGGGGAAAATGGCACAAAGCATCTGTTTCAAGTGGGTGGGAAGACAACATTGTCCCCCAGGCTAGCCTGTCTGGCAGAAGAGGCAGACACACCCAGGAGGGCTGAGGCCTAGGCTCATATGCCACACACAGTGTGCCTGGCCACATTTCCCTTCCTCTCTAGGAAAGCAGGAAACTGGCTGATTCAAGATTTCTTCCCACTTCTGCATTCTGCTTCTGCCTTATAGACTTCGGTCAGGCAGAGGAAGAGGTAAAAGGGACAGAGTAGCGAGACCTTCACCATCCTGGACCTTTCTAATGAGGCCCGAGGACCCTCTGACTTGATAATTATGCTTGAGAAGAATGTGGCTTAGGGGAATTACTACAACAAGGAGAGTTCTGGTCCCAAACAGATGCCAACCTTAAATTGGGTCAGAGAAGATAGTTTAGCCAAGAGTCTACTTACAAAGATGTGGGCAGGGCTAAGGGAAACAAAAGGGTAGTACAGTCCCCAGGGCTTGCAGCAGCAAGACTGTCATCATACTTAATGCAAAAGAGGTTGTAAGAACCTCACAGAGACCATATAGGAAAGGTGGCCTTTGCTAAGGACAATCCTGCAGGAAGGGAGTGGGAGAGGGAGGGGAGGTACCCAGACCTTTCTTTCCTCTTGCAAGGGCCTCCCAACCGTCAAGCCTAAGGAGAAGCCGGAGGACAAGGAAGCCTGCTAGCCTCCAGGGTCAGAGCAGGATGGTACATGCTAGCAAAGAAGTCGGAGCAGCAAATGGAGGGTGAATTCAAAGTGAGTCAGCCCCAGATCATCTACATGGCCAGGCCAGGGACACTGAGAAGTGTCCTCTCCTGGCTAACTCCCAGCCTCTCTCCACAGCTGATTCCAGACTCAGGGTGGGCAGGAGCCCTGGGCTCTGTTGGGATAGGAGGGCAGTGTCTGGCTTGTTGGAAGAGCCCCTGCTTCCTTGATGTGGGCACAATGGCCAGGGCCTGAGCCTCCTCTCCATGCAGGCATGCATGCATGCATGCATTCATTCATTCATTCATTCTGCCAGCATCTCCTGAGGTTACTCTGCCCAGCCAGTGCTAAGAGGAGTACCTGAAGAAATGTGGAAGCACACCAGCCACCTGTTCAATTTGTCCAGTACTCCTGGAGCCAGAGAGACAGGGGTTCCATTCACCAAGCCCCTGACTCTGGACGCAGCTGTCTGTTGCGTCCTTTGTCAAACTGGATCAATCACCTTTTTCCTTCCCAGAGATGTCCTGAGGATTCAAGGCACAACTTTCTGAAAAGCGCGGGCACAGAGCCTGGGGTAGAACCAGTCCTCCACAGTGGGGAATCAGTGGCCTTGTTAACAAGCACCCCCTGCCCCTGCTCATACTCAGCACCCTTCCACCCTGATGCGTTGCTCTAGGGGCTGGTTTATTCTCCTGAGCATTTGTTGCTGTTTTTCCCTCCCTCACTTCCCATCTGCCAGACTGCAAACCCAGGAGATCGGGTCGCTGGGCTCCTAGTTCTCCCTGAATCCCCACGGCTTGGGGCGGGCTCACAATTACCAACATTTACAGGGTGTTTGGACACTGCCAATGGCAGTGACAGCTCCAGTTGGTAGGCAGTGACACTGGGCCCATTTTACATATAAAGAAACAACCCCAGAGAGGTTAAGCAACTTGCCCAAGGTCACAGAGTCATAAACTGGAGAGCAAGGATTGGAACCCGGAAGTCTAGCTCTCCAATCTGGCGCTGGACTGGGGCTCTCATGGCCAGCGAGCGCGGGAGCGAATCCTCTTGTCAATGAACGGACAGCAGGAGCGAGCCCATCCCCTTCCCCGGCGCGACGTCTCTGCGCGGGGACAAAGGCGCGGCGGGGGCCGGACGTGACCGGCGGGGCGG